TTATCTGTTTTTCCAGGGTGGAGAGAGACCATTCTCCAGTTCCTCTCCTGACATATTGAATGTTGCAAGCTCCATGCAAAGGTGACTGCATTTGGGGTGAGAACTGTGCTTTAGTTTGATTGCATCACTTCAAGCTGGTAGAACACTTTAGGTTCCCTTGTGAAGAAAGGCACCATATAAATGTAAAGCCATTATCCTTTTAGTAGCTGTTTCTTTACAAAGAATAGAAAGACCTCGCCTTTTTGCCATGTAGTTTGTAGGCACCATTATAATCCCTTCCTCCTCCAATTCAGGTTTCTTAAGCACATCTGAGAACCACTTATTTCCCAGGTGATGTTTTCTTTAACCTAGTATTCTCTTCCCCCACCCCAGTAATGTTTTGTATTTTAATGTGCCTCTGGGGAATTTTCAAATAACACGGAGTTAAATAGAAGTACGTTGCCTTTGGCTGTGTAGATGAAACAGGGGGCATGTGTGCATGACACTTTAAAGAGGGCTAAATGCTTTTCCTCCACTTTTTAATGGTGTCAGTGTTTGTATGCCTTGGCGATGTATTGTGCATTAATTACAGCCACTGTAGCAAATTCGGTGGCATAATGCACCTTAAATCACTTGGGGCACAGCAAACTGCCCTACAGCTGTGGAGCAAAGCACTGGGCTCTGCGTAGCTCAGGGGCTGTGCAGGAAGCCCATGCAGGCAGCTTGGCAGCAGCCTGGGAAGGCAGGCTCTGCCCAAGAAAAAAAAACAAAGCGGTGAGCCCGATTTCCCTCCCCCCGAGCCTTCCTGCCGGAGCTGCAAGAGGGCCCAGTTCTTCTCTCCGCGGCTGTGGTGCCCACTGGGACCGCCTGAGCCGAGTGGCTGTGGGCTGCTGCCATGAGGGGGAGGTGCCACTGCCACGGGGGGTAAGCACCAGCCCCCCACCCCCTGCAGCCCAAGGACCGCGCTGCTCGCCAGCAGCTTGCCCTCCCCTCCCCGCCACCAGAGAGGCAGATAAGTCAGCAGGGTGTGTGCACAACACAGGGGTTTAAAGGGCCCTAAATTGAAGCAATGTTTTTAAAAACCCACCACTTCAATTTAGGGTCCCTGTTTCATCTACACACACCCTTAGGGGTCCCTGTGGAGGCCAGTGGGCTGTGCCACTCATGATATAAAAGCCCTTTTTGCAGGTAATGGCATGGGGTGATTTTAGCTCATTCTTGGCTTACATGCTTCTCAGCTCTGAAGGTACAGGTCCTGCCTGCTGATTAACCCCATGCCTCTGCACCAAAGGGTATATTTCAAAATGCAGGCTTCTTGCTACACCCAGGAACAGATCTCAGGAAGGACCTGTCATCTACAATGAATATCTTCCTTCGTCAGCTCTAGCCCTAACTCTTGAGCTTTTCAGGGAGCAGCACAATCCTCCTGTCACTGGCTTGGCATTGTGCAGCTCAGGCTCTTTATCTTTCTGAGAGATGTTTAGGTAATATGCTGGTTCTATATTATGGGGGATTTATTTAAGCAGTAAAACGCCAGTTTGTCAGGCGTTTTACCCACTTGAGTGGGAGTTGAGCATGTGAAGTGGGGGCAGGACTTCGCCCTCTCTTTGCAAGGTAGAGAGAGATGCAACATGGTGGGGCTGCAGAGCAACACAGCCCCCACGCAAGCCAGCACCCTTCTGCCAGGGGACAGTTGCCATGCCTGCTCTTCATCTAAGCCTTGCACTGTATGTGTCCCTAGAGAAATGGCTGTTGCCTTCACCATACCAGGGGGAGGTCAGCACTTCTAGTGCTGTTGCCTGACTCGGTGGGAGTGTCTGAAGCCAAGCTGCAGAAAGCTAAGTGTTAACTGGAGGAAGGAGTAGGTTTTACTCCTTCGGTTGTGGCCGCCAGATTGCATGCGAGTGTAAGCAGAGGTGGTCCTCACTTAAAGCTGGATACAACACAATGGGATGCTTCTGTAAATATGGAGCTGCAGAGCTGACGCTGTAGTCGTGCTGCCCTGAGCTCACTCTGATTTACTTTCTCCTCACATACGTGATGATGACCACAATCTGGCCAACCCTGAGGACCAAACAGTGGAGCTGAAAGCCTGAGTTATAATAACTGGAGCTAAGGAGCAGGCCCCCCAGCTGGGTGCTGGAATGGATTTGTCTCCTTTCTGAATCCGACTCCAAGGGCAGAGCACAGCTTGCACCAGTTCTGATAGGTTACCCTAGGGAGATGCAAAATTGTTTCCATCCATCAGGCTCTGCTGATATGACTGTATTCCAGCTACCAATGCAGCGAAGACCAGGAAGGCATGGTGGAAGGACAGGGATGGAGGGGAGCCCAGAGAAAGTGGATGAAGATGTCTCACGCAAGGCACCATGTCTAGATCTCCAGTGATGATGGAAAAACAATAAAAGCAACTTCGGGGCTTCTTTTAGAATTAGACATGAACAGAGTCCTTGGTACACAGCACAGCTTTTAAGGCCGAGGGAGACCTGAGCAGCATAATAGAAACAAAGAGCATGCCGCCTGGGGGAAGAAGCAGAAAGCACTTCTTCTGTCAGAGAATTCACGACTGGGATTGCTGTAGGGGGAAAGTGGTGAACTGCAAGTTGAATGCACTATTCAGGGGCAGATATCGTATTATTGATGCCCTTCTACAAGCAATCTGAGTGCTGTTGTCTTGAGTAAATGACATGGAGGTAGGTGACCCATATGGGCAGCCTGCCTTTTCTTTCCTTTTCCTTCATGTCCCCGTTTTCCTTGAGTCTTGCTTGTTTTCCTGGCATTGCCCCAGATGCCCTCTGGAAATGCTTGTTCCCATGTGTTTCGGTGTGGTGTTGGTCAGTACTATTCTGAAAGCTAAGATGCTTTATGGCCAGCGAGATTAAAGTAGCTCTGAGAGTTGTTTCCTCTGACTCCTAAGGATGAGCAGAATCATTCTGGGGGCCAAAAATAAAACCAACTTGCAGAGGAGGGGGCCAAGTGTGTGGCTGTAATGACTCAGTGCCCCCAGAAGTACCTCAGTTTAACAAGAGGGTACAAATAAGTTGGATGTATTTACACCCATAGGCATTAGAACACAGTCTGTAATATATATATATATATATATAAAAACCCACTAAAAACTGCATGGAAACCTGGTGACAAAATTACCCCTTTCAGCAATGGAACTTAAAACCCCAACTCCAGCAGTCTTGCAAGGACCCTTTGGGGTGCGAAGCTTCACCTTGTGCACAGCCTCAGCATCCCAGATGGCACCAGGACTTTCACCACTTCACAATCACACTGACCCTGTTACCTTCTGCGGCCTTTTAAGTACAATTCTGTAGCAACAGTCAGTTCCTCTCCTCTGTGGGGAAGATGTCGATGATCCTTCTCCCAGCTGCACCCAGACTAGGCTCCTCTACAGTCTCGCTGGGGCATCTATCAGTGGTTCTGGGAGCATATCAGGGAGGGAAGCTCTAACCACCCTGGCTCCAGGCAAAATGTCCCCCACTGTCGCAGCTCCTCTTTTCCACTTCCCCTCCTGCTAGCCCTCAAAGAAGCCTGGGGGCTGTAATTCAATCCAGATCCCTGGGTCTGGAGTGGCCTCACACCTCCACTTAACTCAGGGGCAGGAGTTACACTGGGACTAAATTTTAGCTGGAGCTGAACTTTTATGGCTATAAAAGCAGCTGCTCAATGCAGTTGGGAAAGCTTTGTCTTTCTTTCTGTTTCTCTCTAAGAGGCACAATGCTAGATTTCTTGGTTTTGTGAGGGAAGTCAGAATAACTAGAACCACAAGGTAGGAAACAGCACAATAGTCTATCTGGCCCAAACCAGGAAGTAGGAATGAGGAAGCAAGTGAATGTGTTGTCATCAAGCCAAAGAAGCTGGAGTACCTTTCCGTACGGTGTAGGCAAATGTCCAGATGTGTTAACCCTTGTCTAACCCAACTGGAGCCTCTAAAGCTGGGGAAATACTTGCCCATTATGCCAAACTATCAAGGATGTGGTGCTGTACCTCGGGCCATGTTGGAGCAATGATGTGGCTGAACTTGGTGTTTTATGCCACTTCATTCCCATGTGCATTTCAGTAAATTTAAAGGGCCTTGGTGTTGGGTATAGCAGAAAAATCTAGATGAAGTGGATGTTACAAAACATATAGGTCTACATTGAGTCTTGGTTATTGGGGCGTTGCATGAGTTTATGTATTTTGAATATTGCGGTTTTAAAATAGCATCTACTCGCATGCCACTACCTTTAGCTAAACTGGTAGTTTAATTTCTTTCCCCAAATGCACCAGAAACAAGGATGGACTGAAGCTGGATAAATGAGGAAACTGAGGTACAGGAAAGGGGGTTTCTCCAAGTCATTGTCAGAAGGGGGCTTCTGATTCTCAGTCCCATACGTGAGGTTGCAGTGCCCCTTATCAGAGATCCTCAGAGCCAGTGCCAGGCCCACCTGAAATGCTTGCAAATGGACATGAACCACTTGAAGAACCTGATCGGGGTTTGGAAACCAGTGCAAACTGGTAGTAGATGGAGCTCTGGGTTGGTAATTGGGAGACCTCAGTTTTGTTACCGACTCAAGTACTGACCTACTGCATATAACCTTCTCTCTAAAAGTTTCTTTTCTGGTCCCTGTCTCTTGCCTATTTTAACAGCAGGTTCTTGGGGGCAGAAACAATCTTTTGTCATAAGTCTGCCCATCACCTAGCGGGGTTGGAATCTGATCTGTATTCAAGCCACCTGTTGATACTGTCATGCAAATTACAAGTAAGAAATGGAGCAAGGGGAGATTCTTGTGTGTGTTGTCTGGCTGTAAATGTTTTGCACAACACTATTAACCTGCTGACTCTGCTGGTAATTCAGTTACCCTCGATCAGTCTGGCAGTGACAAGCATGTACTGGAAAGAAGTCGGGGCACAAGCTACGAATGCTGTTGCACAATGTGAGATTCTGCAGGCTTTTCAGGGCTGCCACCTGTCTATACTGCAATCTCCTCTTAGGCTGGAGATGCTGAGTTTCTTCTCTGTTTTCCTGGCAGGTGTACTGCTAGACATCCAGCAGCATTTTGGAGTCAAAGACAGTGGAGCTGGCTTGCTACAAACAGGTAAGAGTCTGTGTTTCCTGTCTGTCTGGGTTTTTTTCCTTTCCTTAGGGGGTATCTTGTAGGTTTTTTGAACAAAGGTCGGGCTGTCCTTCTATGCATGCGTTTGCTTTGTTAAAATATAATGGGCTGGCAAATAATTCCTGACTGAGTAGCTGTGCACTTGGCCTTCACTTAGCAGTGGCTTAGTTTGCTGCATCCAAATAAACTCTAGTTTGGTGACCTGGAGGATGAAGCCAGCTGCAGCCTCATTTTGCCAGTGCGTGGGATAAGGATGTTTTGGGTGCAACAGGCGATGTGAGTGAGCACATTTGTTCTCTTAGCTTATGGGAACTGAATTAAGGGAAGAGAAGTGCCAAGCCACAGTGAAAGACAGCCACCTTCCTGAGTCTTAGGTTGGGCATAGCAACTCAGCGGTGGATCTGTTTCAGCTGAAAGTTTGCACTTTGTATATAGTATGACTCCTCTGGTGTATGAAAGTCATGCTGTATGGCTGCCCTCTTAAACACAGGCAGCACAAAGTAACACAGTATAAGAAATGAATGCCACAATTGGAATAAATTAATGAGTATGAACGTTGCAGGAAGGAGCTAATAGCCATTCCTCATATGTTTAGCTCATTATCCTGTTGGTTTAGTTGGTGAAAACAAAGCCTTTGAATTTGGGCCATTTGCATCAGACACTTCTGGCCTTGCGTTTACGGAAGAAGGGTTGTTAGATCTCAGGGCATTTCCTTGTGCTACAAACTATGGACTTTTCTGCTCAGTCCAGGACAAACCAGGTATTTTGGCCTCTAGTGTGATGTGGCTTTGGCTGATGCCTTAATCAGATTGAATTTGAAGACTCTGATTGACAGCCCCAGGATGACAATGATAACAAAATAGTTGATGTTTACAGAGAGGAGGTAAACCAGTCAGGGGGCAAATGCAGTCTTTAAGGGGAAAAAGAGCCCTCTTGCAAAGGTGATTGTCAAGGTGGCAGAGGCCTGGAAGTTTGGTGTTTCTGTTGTCTTGCACTGGTTTTCTGATGGGACTAACAAGGAATATACATGCAACTCAGTAAATGAAACTTAGGAATGCTGCTTCTTATCTGATAAAGGATTTTAACTGGTATGAGAGAGTAAGCTTTTTGCGGTGCTGTGTGTAGCTTCTAGCTCAGTGAGGTCCTGACCCATAACTGGAGCTCTTAGGCACAATTACAATCCAAATTAAATCAATAATACTATATGTTGGGGCTCTTTAAAAAAATCCCATCGCTGGTGCAGTTCCATTGACAATGTTGGGAGTGTTGGTCTAGTCATGTTTCTTACTACATTTTGCCAGGGGTGCTTGCTGCACTTGCACCTTGGTTTGCTCCAGTGAAACAGAGTCGTAGAGAAGTATGGCTGGAAAGGATCTCCACAGGTCTAGTCCAGCTCCCCATCTGAGGCAGGATCTTCCCTATCCAAACCATCCTATACACATCCATTGTCTAACTGCTTAGCAGAGTGATGCAGTGAACCCTGACATAACCACAAGACACCCTAATCTGCCACGGGGGGCAGGGGGAACATGGCAGCCAATGTCCTGATGTTGCAAAGGTGGTTAAAATATGCTAGGAAGATCCCAGGAAGAGGGCCACACCACCGCTACAGAGGAAAACAAAAATTCCCACAGCCTGTACTAATCTGACCATGGAGTTAAGTTCCTTCCTGACCCCATCTATCACCACTGGTCTGACTCTGAGCAGAGGGACGAGATCCTCTAGTTGGGAACCTACAGTTTTAAGACCCAGCAGAAGCATTGGCGTGCTCCAGTCAAAATCCTCGTTCTTGGCTTCAGACAACACCCAATGCTTCTGAGCAAGGCTTAAAAAAACTCTGACACGTAGCAGCAGGAGTGGAAAAAATTCCCTCCTGGCCCCATGTGGCAACCAGTGAAGCCCAGAAGCACAGGAAATACCCATACCAGAACATAGATACCCCTGTGCCTAGATCATCCCTGACCAATCAATGCCTGTCCAACCTCTTCTTGGACACCTCCAATGATGGAGAGTCCACAACTTCCCTACAGTGGTCTATTCCACAGTGTTTTAACAGCGAAGATGTGTCTCCTGATACCAAATCTAAGCCTTCTTCATTGCAACTTCAAGCTTTTGGTCTGTGCCCTGCTCTCTGCAGCAAGAGAAAAAGATGCCTCTTTGTTATGGCAGCCTGTCCAGTATTTGAAGACTGGTATCATGTCCTTTCTTAAACACCATTTCTGCAAGCTAAACATGCCTATTTCCGTCAGTGTGTCTCCTTGTATGACTTGCCTTGCAAGCCCTTTATCATGTTTGTTGCCCACCTCTGGACCCTCTCTAGCTTCTCCACATCCTTTTTAAAATATGGAGCTCAAAACTGCACACTGTATCCTAGATGAGGCCTAACCAGTGCCAGGTAGAGAGGCACTATCACTTCCTGTGTCTTGTACCTAATGCCTCTATTAATGCACTGCAAATCTGCATTTGCCTTTTGTGCAGCTGCGTCACATTGCAGACTCGTATTGAGCCTGTGATCTATCAAGACTCCCTGATCCTTCTCCATGGTGCTGCTATCCAGCCAGGTATCACTTATTTTGTATTTGTATTTCTGATGATTCTTCCTGAGATGCAGCACCTTACCTTGCAGTTGTCAACACTGAACTTCATTCTGTTAGCTCCAACCCAGGTTTCTAACCTGTCAAGATCCCTCTGAATTTTGCTCATGTCCTCTAACATGTTCACAGTCTTTCCCAGTTTTGTATCATCTGCAAACTTGTTCAAGAAGCGCTAAATTCCAGGATCCAAATCATTAATAAACTCCTTGAACAGCACTAGACCCAGAACAGATCCCTGCGGGATTCCACTTGAAACCTCCTGCCGTTCTGACATGGATCCACTGAGCCACTAGTCTCCTCACTTTATAGTAGTTTTCTCTAGCCTGCTTGTGAGAAGGTCATGTGGAAACTTGTCAAAAACCTTGCTGAAGTCCAGATACACTATATCCATAGAATTCCCTTGATCTACCCAAGAAGATACTTTGTCAAAGTTTTTGTTTGTTTGAGGGTAGGGGCATTATACTGGCCCTTTTCCAGGCTACTAGTACCTCTTCCATCTCCCAAGACTTCATCTATTATTGCCAAGGGCTCTTGAGATCTCCTCTGCCAGTTCCTTTAGTACCCTGGGAGGTTCATCGGGCCCTGCTGACTTGAACTCATTCAGATCCATCAAAAGCTCTCTGACACTCTCCCACTCTCTTGTTCTCTCATTCTTCAGCTTGTCCCCTTCCTTATTCAGACATTTTTACTAGGTGTCTGGGTCATATTCTGCAAGGCACTAGACAAGATCTCTGTGGAAATTACTGCATCTTGCAGGATATGGCTCTCAATTAAACTTTGCAGAGTAGGAATGAGAGTTTGGCTTCATGGGTACACCAGCAAATTATCTGCCATCCCTATCTTGTTAATTCTCCACCAGCTGCTCTCCTCTTGGAAAGGCAGAGTTCAGCTAAGCTGATGCGTGCAACACGTGTCAAGAACAGAAGGCTGGAACTTTACAAATACTGCTGATGAGAAGGAGCATCAATCAGTGATGCCCAAAATGATATTGGATCTCAATCCAGCCCTTTTTTGCAGCAGTTATTTTTATTTATTGTGCCCCTAGGAACAGATCCTCCATGTACTATTAGACAACGAGTGCTTCCAATAAAATATTCTGATGGAAAAATCTCATCCTCTAAAGCAAATATTTGATCGTAATCCCCGTTGCTACATGAAGGATTATTATTATTTATTTCTATAGTGAAGAGGCAGGCCACCTAAAGGCCCTTTTATTGTTTGGAATATTGCTAATGGGAATGCAGTAGTTTCTGTCAGCAACAACATGCCCCTTTGGTGAAGAAATACAGTACCCTCTCTGTGGTCATTTCCTGGTCTGGAAGTTGTTCCCATGTGTTCTGTTCTGTCTCCTAGGGGCACTGAATTGAAAGTTTTGGCCATTTCACAGCATCTGTGATAACTTTGCATTTCTATAGCACCTCTGATCCAGTGATTTCAAAACATACTGAAGGCCTGATTCTGCCATTGTGACTTAAGTAGGGAAGTGACTTTCCCTGTAAATAGTGGCATGGATATTAGCTGGACAGCTCATTCAATAAGCCACAGATCACCAGGAGTAAGTCAGGGCCCTGAAATAATCTATATTGTCATCCACATTTTACAAGTCAGAAACTGATGCAGTGAATTTAAGGAACTTATCCAGAGTTTCACAGGAAACCTGTGGCAGAGCCAAGAATGGCATTTTCATGTCCTCACCTTTTGATTTAGCCTGCAGATGCTATGCAAGGCCATTGAGACAGAAGTACGCTTGTGCCCCCAAGATGGCCCTTCCTATCACAGTGAAGTTTGCAGCATTTAGCCTGTACCTGCCCATGAAAAAGTGGATTTTGGTTATCAGGATGTTGATCTTGCACTTAATGTGCATGACACTGACTTCAAACTTTAACAAGAGAGAATGAGGGATTTGTTGATAGCCATCAAGTCTTTAAGCTGATTTAATCAGTCATCAAGTCTTTAAGCTAATTTTACAGCACTGAAAACCCTTCTAACCATAATGCTATAGAAAGTTATTTTGGGAAAGATGGTGTTTCACACCCAAATAATGGAAGAAAAAAGGAACTCTTGAAATTTGAGTTCATAGCCACTTAGTCCTGCACACACAGGCCACGTCCACATGGGAAGGGACTTGTATTTGCAGCAGCACAGATAGTAGTAGCACAAATTTGTGCCTCTTCTTTGTGCTGCAGTGCATGTCCCTGCCTGTGTGCTTTGCAGCAGGACACATTGTCCCACTGTACTATGTGCTGTGGCAGGGCTGGCTGGGGCACAGGATGCCTCAGGGGACTAACCAACAGGCATCCCCTGTGCTGAGGCACCCTGTGCCCCAGCCTGTCCAGGAGTAGCTCGTGGAGGAAGGGAATAAGCGGTCCCAGGGCTGCCTGCTCTTCC